GGAGCACCTCTCCTATGAGGACAGGCTGAGGGAGTTGGGGCTGTTCAGCTTGGATAAGAGAAGGCTCTGGGGAGACCTTACTGCGGCCTTCCAGTACCTGAAGGGGTCCCATAGGAAAGATGGGGACAATCTTCTTAGTAGAGACAACAGTGACAGGATGAGGGGTAATGGTTTTAAACTAAAACAGGGTAGGTTTAGGCTGGATATAAGGAAGAAATTCTTTACAATGAGGGTGGTGAAACACTGGCCCAGGTTGCCCAGAGAGGTAGTGGAGGCCCCAACCCTGGAAACATTCCAGGCCAGGTTGGACAGGGCTCTGAGCAACCTGATCTAGTTAGTGGTGTCCCTGCTCGCTACAGGGGGGTTGGACTAGATGACCTCTAGGGGTCCCTTCCAACCCAAAACTTTCTATGATTCTATTCTCTGGGCTGTATTTCAGACACTGCTGTTTTAATAGATGCACAAGTAAAGTACAAAATTATGTAACCCGGTGCTTAGAGGAGTCAGAATAAACAAAGCAAGCAATAATCAATTAGCTATTTATACAATGAGTAAACAGCATATAAAGGTGACAAAGTAAGAATTCTAGCTTCTCCACTACAAAATACTAACAAACCAAAACAATAGCTTTCTATGCTGGTAATTAAAATAACAGTAGCAAAATATTTTAAAAGAAAGCACACACTAAAATAAATAATTCTTAGTAGAAGGAACAAGTGAATGAAAGAAAGTGCATTTTCTCTTCCATGTGAGTATAAAACCAAAAAACTTCAAGTTTCAGAGCATGTAGTGCTTCTGTACAGTACAAAAAGTTTGCAACTCCCTTAGGAAACCATTTTCAAGAGCTAATAAAGAATTCATCCCACTTGAGTAAAGCAGGCATGTTTGGCTGCATCCATCCATTAAGAAAATTCTCTTCCTAGTTTTGCATTGTTAACTGCTTCATTCGCTTAACTGCAATGAGCCTTTAGTAACCTACTTTGCAATCACACAGCATTACTCTCCTCTGAGATTAAGGGCACACTTTACCAAAAGCAGCAAAAAGACTCGTGCATTCAGTTTTTCCTTCTACATGTGCAATATAAATCTGGACAGCTTAATAGTTTCACCAAAAAAAGAATGGAAAGTAATTTCCTTTTCTCTGGATTAATCTTAAGTGTACATATTCAAGGAACACCATAATAGATATAACTGCGATAGCACATTCATTCTGTGCACAACACAAAGTGCAGCACAGCACCGCCTGCAAAGCGCAGCGGGAAGGGAAACGAACTGTTTAAAACTCATCTGAAGGCTTCCTTCATTCCCACATCTGCAAAGTTTGTTCTGCAGCAAGCTCTGAAAACGCCACAGCTCAGCCACCACCGCGCATTTCCAGCTCGCTCAGAATTACTACCCAGCCTGAAGCGTGCGGACCCTAAGCTTGCTCCAGCTTTTCACCGAGCGCTCGCTGTAAGGCACTACCAGTGACAAGACGGAGCTTAGGTCGGCCCTGCACTGCAGCAACGAGGGGAGACACAAGCAGCGACCGCGCTTGGGCCCGAGGCGAGCGGCAGAGCTCAGCTGGGACCCGGGCCTCCCTCACCTCAGCCCCCGCAGCCACCCAGCTCA